ACGTCAGCTGATGCTGAACAAACCAATTGGAACACATCCCATTGGAGGTGGAGAGTGTGTAGGCAGTGCGTAGATGTGACAGGGACCGGTAATGTCAGAGCATTCTGAGCCCATAAAGATGTTGGAAAATAAAAAAATAAATAAGCGAATGTCTTACTATGAAAAATTCAAACTGAATGTAATCAGTTATGCAAAAGAGCATGGAAATAGAGCTGCAGAGAGACAGTTTAGGTAACATTTACATGATACATTCAGTTTAGGTAACATTTACATGATACATTCAGTTTAGGTAACATTTACATGATACATTCAGTTTAGGTAACATTTACATGATACATTCAGTGATTTCTTAATTTTGGGTTGGAAAAGTGGGGGTCATCTTATACATGGGGGCATCTTATTCACGGAAAAATACAGTAATTTTCATTCATAATTTTATGTGAAAGATTTATGATGCTGTCTCTGATTTTAGAAGCATTATATGCTCATTTCTTCAGTACTGATTGTTTTACCTGTGATTCCTCAAAGCAGCAAAAATAATTTTTATATTAACTTTTTTCAGTTTTTAATAAAGTAATTTTATTTAGCACTTAAGAGATTGATCTTTCTTCAGAGTAGAAGGACTGATTTCCCTAGTCACATACCTCATGCTATAGTCCTAGGAGATAGATTGTATTTATTTTTATCATATTTTCTCCTCCTGTCAATTTGCCATTTGGGTGCTTATGCTTTGGGATCCCTATGTATCCTACATGTCAGGTAACAGCATCTCCCTGGAAGATAGGCAGTAGTAACAGCAAAGTTTCTACACTAAGACAGGAAGGTGGATTAGGGTATGTAAACTCAGAGGGCTTCTGGCAAAGGAAGTTTGCGTCCTCCATACTTTGACCCTTTGGGCTCAGCCTTGTTGCTACAATACTAAATACAGGTCTTGCAATCTTCTAAACAAAACTGGAGCTATGAATGTTTAGATTTGTTATAATCTTTGCCAATACCACATTCCTTAAAGAAAAATATGAGAATGAGAAAAGTTTAGAGGAAAAATAGCCATTGAATTCAGTCAGAAGTGGGTTAATTTATGGGATGAAAAGAAATATGTCTTAAAAATGCAATGGACTTGTCTATTGTAGCTTTATCACTGGAAGTTATGACCGAACATGCAAACTGTGGGATACAGCAACAGGAGAAGAATTACGTTCTCTGGAAGGCCACAGAAATGTGGTGTATGCAATTGCTTTCAATAATCCTTATGGGTATGTAACTTTTCAGAATTCTTAATACACCATGGCCATATAAGTCTTCAAATCTAAGTTATGTTATAACCCTAATTTGAAAGACTTTATTTTTTATACCCCAACATAGTTCTAATTTTCTGCATTGAATTTTATTTTGCTTTCCTCTTCTATTTGATGGAATGCTGTTAATTGCTAGGAGTCTTACAGGATTTGGCACTATAGAAGTTAAACCAACAAATATATGGAGTTAATGATTCTAATTAAAACAGTATTTTTTTCTATCTTTTATCTAGTGACAAGATTGCTACTGGATCATTTGACAAGACATGCAAATTATGGAGTGTAGACACAGGAAAATGCTATTATACTTTTAGAGGACACACTGCAGAAATAGTAAGTATAGGAGTTTTGGTTGCACTTGACAACAGTATATATAGAACAGAAATGAGTAAAACAGCTTGACTTTAAAATGAACTGTTCCAATCCCATTGGATGTGTTCCAAACTTGACATGACTTGCTTCAAGCTCAGAGCAGTTGTTTTGAAGTTAGAATGCTTCTTATGAAATAGAACCCATTTTAGACTTGAAAATATCCACACTTCTGTAATGGGAAGTTATTTAAATTCCTCCAAACCTCTTTAAACAATGTTGTTTACACCCTCTCCTCATTTAGCGAATGCAATCTGTTCTGGTGACTTTGTCGTTAAGCAAATGGTCGTTAAGTGAACACATGACTGAGAGAAAGAGAAAGACGCTATGAAGATCACTGGTTGCTGCCATCTCATTCAGATAAAGTTCTCTCATACAGTGTCCTGTGCCTGACCCATTTTGTTTTCCTTCTTTTGCCCCCTCGCAGGGCAGAGAGGTTGCTTAAACAAGCTATCTCTTCCTGAGCTGCTTTTCTCCACAGCACCGCAGGTCCCTAAAAAGTGCTAACCGCAAGTTTACAAGCTCAGGTCTGTGACCTTAATTAGTTGATTAGAACCCTCCAGCAGCTAGCACTGCTTCCTGAAACTGACTGGACCTTAATCAGTTTCACACTGAAGGCTTTTGTTGACAGGTGGATGAAATTTGGTTGTAAATGCATGCATTGGTCTGAAAATGATTTTTTTTATTACTGTTATTGTACAGTATGTGTGAATGATTGTTAACTGAGGTAGTTGCTAAACAAGGAGCGGCTGTATTCACTGAATCTCATCCAAATTATATTAGTAATTAACAATAATGCATGTTGTTTTCTCAGCAAATACACTGACATCCAATAAATTAGAGATAATTTAAGGAATATCTTTGTATTTTTGGATTAGTTGCAGCCTTATGCCGACTGGTAAAACTTTTCCTATTCCCAGGGAGATAGCAAAAATAATTAAGGGTCTTGTGGCATTTTAACAAATTGTTTATCACATAAGCTTTCACAGATCACAGCCCACTTCATTAGATATACTTTTGTGATAATGAATATATTTGTCCTTTATGTGCTCTCATTTAAAAAAAAAAATCAAGCTTATTTAGCAGCCCCTTCCTTAACTATTAAATCTTCAATGTGTATTGGATATTAATTAACTGGTTTGTACATTTACTATTACATCAGTATATTGATTTTGGCATATGTTTGGTACCATTGCACAGACATCCAAGATATGGATATAGTTACTAGATATTAAACTCTGTCTTTAATTATATTAATCAGAACTAAAACCAGTTAGATTTCAATAGAATTTATAGAAAGATGCTGAAAAAAAACAGATGCTATCCTTTTTCACCTTAATGAGAAATACCCAGTGCTGTGTTATAATCCACATTGTATTCAACACATTAAAGAGGAGATCAAACTTAGAATGGTGACAGCTCCATGTTTCTTGAAATATTTTATTCCTTCAAGCAATCGTTTCAGATAAACTTATATGGTCACACTCACATATCTCCTATTATATCATCATAGGACTGTTTTCATCTATCCTTTCCCAAATTATAGAATAAAGCACACACTTGGCAAACCCCTTTGTCTTGTTATCAACATAAATTTGGAATTCAGGTACTCATTCTGAATAAGAACAGCTTTTATAGGCCATGTCAGTGGTTTAATTTTTTAATTTTTTTTTTACTGGAAACTTGACAAGATCAAAGTAGATAGAGGCTATCTGGGATGAGTTGAGTCCTGATGAGGCTACCAGGATCCTTCAAACTGAGTTCAGCCACTTCCTTATTAGGTCTGGGCCTCTCCTGGGTTATTAAGTCTGCCCGGGAGGTGCAGGATCCATGCTGTGGTGTCAGCTTCTTTGAGAGAGGGATGATTCCTTTGGCCTTGAAGGCGGCGGTAGTGTGCCCCCTCCTCAAGAAGCTGTCCTTGGACCCAGCAGTTTTCGATCATTATAAGCATTGTAGGTTTCCAAGTCTGACAATAGGTAGTTGGACTGCAGTTGCTAAGGATTCCTAAGGAAGCTGCTTATCTGCACCCATTTCAGTCAGGTTTCAAGCTGGGGTTCAGTACAGAGATTGCATTAGTTGCACTTATTGATGACCTTTGGTGGAGCCAGGATGTGGGTGGAGTATCCATCCTTATACTCATTGATCTCAATGGGTTTTGATACTTTGATCATGATACTGTTTTGGGCTGATAGCAGGGTTTGGGAGTTGGAGGCATGTGTTACAATTGTTCTCCTTTCTCCTGGCCAGTTCCAGTTGGTGTTGGCAGGAGGGGAAAGTTACATCCTCAGCCTCTTGTCTGTGGTGTGCCTCAGAGATTGACACTTTATCCCTTCCTGTCTAATATCTACATGAAACAGCTGGGAGAGATCATCCATTGATTCAGAGTCTGGTATCATCAATATGTTGATTATATCCAGTTGTACATCTTGATCCTGAGCCGTCCAAGTGATGCCGTCAATGCCCTATCTCAGTGTCTGGAGGCTGTGCAGGTCTGGATGGGGAGGAACAGGCTCAGCCTCAAGCCTTCCAAGACTGAGTGGCTGTGAATTTTTAGGCCCTCAGATCCATGAGAGGGTGAATCATTAATCTTGTTGCCTTTTATAATCCTGTACAACCAATAAGGTATTGATCAGCAGGAATTGCATTCTGCCATGCTATCACCTGCCTGACAGCAAGGAAGGTAGGAAAGCTAAGGATTTCTATAAAGATCTGCTTTCCCTCTTTTGTCTTACAGGTTTGCTTGTCATTTAATCTTCAAAGCACACTAGTTGCAACTGGAAGCATGGATACTACAGCTAGACTATGGGACATACAGAATGGAGAAGAAGTAGTCAGATTAACAGTGGGTTGCAGTTATTTATAGTTCTAGCAGGCATATGATGCTTTCTAAGTTTTAAATAAAATAAAAGCTATTGAAAGAATACAGGTAGTCCTTGCCTTATGTCCATTTGTTCAGTGACTGCTCAAAAGTTAATGGCAGCGCTGACAAATGGACTTATAACTGGTTCCATGAAGTTCTGGCTGCCGCAGAACACAATCCGGAAGCTTGGGAGCCCAGCTCGTGGTTATGATGTTGCAGTGAGCCATGGTCACATGATTGCCATTTGCAACCTTCCCTGCCAGCTTTCTGAGCAAAGTCAATGGGGAAGCTGGCAGGGAAGGTCACAAGTTGTTCCAGTAAATCACTCCCACCACTTTTTCTTCCGAGGTGCCCACTACGGAGTATGACTTGTGTGTAGCCTCTTCTGGCCTTCCTGCAGCCTCTCCTGGCCCTCCTGCGGCCTCTGCTGGCCCTCCCATGGCCTCTGCTGACCCACCTGCGCTCCATGGCACCTGCCCACTCCTTTTCATAATCATTGATTATTAGTTGAAGATAATCCAGCCTACCAAATGAAATTCACAACCTGACTATTTTAAATCGAAAAAAAGGAAATCAGTGGTATTGAAACCTGGGTGAGAAAATAAGCCACTGGCTTGTGATGATGTAGTATGATTATAGTTCATAAAGCTTGACTGAAGGGTTTGCATGGGACAAGTGATACAAACAACACGGGAAACAGGCAAAATATA